AAATGTAAATGTTATCCAGAATATGTACACATCGAGTGAACCTCTTCTTCGACTACTTCTTTGGTCTCAGTCTCCCACTATGTTAAATCATAAATTTAAATATGTGATATATATATATATATATATATATATATATATATATATATATACATATATATGATTGTTCTTCGTGGTCAATATCAAGACAATTAGGCATCTCTGCTAAAACTTTGTCTGAATCCCGTTTTAACAATAGATATCTGAGAGAAACGTCTCTTTGTATTATTCGATGGAAAAATTGTAGGGCAGGCAGATAATTAGTTGACAATAATATTCTGATTCATGTCAGTCGGATATCACCGATCTATGCATGTAAGCACATATGTAAACAGTGAAGATCACTTTCAATAATTTTCAACGTTTTAGGACGACTTTCCCAGTAATTTTGGAGGTGTGGTACACTGTGTGTGGATTAGTATCAGAGTTTCTGTGAACTCAGTCAACAAGGAAGCTAACATGCAGATAAAAGGTAATTTTGCTAAGGAAGTCAATATCAGCATCTTGGTTGCGTTGTTTTCTCTGTGCTGGGTGGTTTAATCGTGAAGCTTTTATTCTCTTTCTAGACAGTTTCACTGTCACTAAGTTCTGCATTGAACTTAAGGATGATGATGTTGTCTGAAAAAACAGTGGAAGCTTCAGGATTAAACCATTCAGAACAAAGAACACAAATCACCGAAGATCGTCTATCAGAGATACAAGTATTTTCCACCATTTCAATATCAGGAAGTATTTAGCTACAATAACAGTATGAGATGACATAACAGTGGTAATGACATTAACCATTCTTGGCAGATTCTACTTCAAATACCTTGGACTTTGTTCGCATTGCCTTGAATTAAAAGTTGATTGATTTTAACCGCTAGAAACTTTTTGAAAAACATAATTATTATTATTTTTCCTTTGGGTTCCTAATGGAACATAGGGATTCAGCAGCACACTTCCATTACACTCTCTTTTATGCAGTCTTTTCAACCTGGCTCCATGACTGCCCACAAGCTTTCACTTCTTCCTCACATCATCTCACCCATATCATCCTCTCTTCGGACACCCAACTCATCGTTTCCCCTTCGGATCCCACTCGAGTACCTGGCCTGGCACGTGATGTCCCCGATCAGTCTTCTCATTGTATACCCAATCCAATACATCTCCACTTTCTTCTTTATATTTGTTAGGTGATGGGTTCTTGGTTGGTTCGTTGACATGCCAGAGTTCCTTGTTGCTTATTATTCTGGCCATCTGATCTTCAGTATCGAGTGAGTGTAGACGGCAGCTGTTGTGTAGTTTGTTGGAAATGCTTTTCGTGAAACACATACCTGTTTATATATTTTCTACACGTAGGAAGGTTTCATAATTGACAACAATAGGTAATTTTTTCTATGGTCATCAACTATTAACCCCATGATAAAAGCACTTGCCAGTTAAGTTAATTAAAAACAAGTTCATATTCCTCGTCAACTTACTCTTTGACAGAAATTTCCCCCTAATTCTTTTGATATCAGTGAGGATCTACTTTCACTGTGTTCGTCATAATGGCTAAAGTAAAATTTGGGATTTATTAAGGTCACCTTAAATTGATGTCTCTTTTCTTCACACGCAAAAAGTAACAAGTAATGTTATATTCATGATAAGAAAGTAATAATTAAAAGAAATAGCTAAAAGTTTCTATTTGATATCTTTACTGGTTTTTCAAAATAGCTTCCACCATGTTGCATCTTCATGCGAAATGCAGAAAGAAACTCAATTATTTACGTGAATGCTCATTATTGCATAGTGTCAAATAACATTTTTAACCATCTCTACTAATGAAAACTTAGTGGTTAGGGCGAAAATTTCTGTTTTCTTTTGAATTAATAACAGACCAACAATAAAATTAATTTTCATTTGATAAAACTAATATTTCTTCTGCAGACCGATTTCTTCTAAATTACTAAATAGTTGATATATTCAGTCTTCGATCATACTTATTCAAAGTTTTGACTGATCAAATAGGCGAAATCACAAATTTAGACGACTGTTTGACTCATCATTAGTAAAAGTGCACAATTATGTACCACAAAGCACAAAGATAATATACTCTTGTTTAGACCACCTGTTTCGTATCACGAGTCACTGTTCCATGTAAACACACATGCTTTTAGAACATTACATGGCCTCAGTAGTTCAGTTAATTCAGGATAAAATAAATTTCATGTTTCCAAACTAGTTTCCTGTCGGTCTGAACGTATCACATAGGAAAATAGTGTGTTATGAATGCAGAATTTCCTTATATTGACTAAATTGTATTTAAACAACCAGGAATTTGGATGCAGAAGACTAAGCAAAGTGAAGAACATGGGTTAAATTTATTTCACTTAACCCAGTATTATTTTCTTGAGACAGAGGCATGATAGTTGTGAGTAAACCATCAAATACTTAGTCTTTAAATTATATAAATCAAGTAAATTATTCAAATAACAAGAAACGTCGTTAGATCTGTTTGTGGTTATGGTTTATTGTCTACTCCGGAGACTTCTTAGCATATATGAAGTGAAACAATTCATTGCTAAAACCCTGAATGACAAGATTAGTCACATATCTGGGAGCAGATCTATGCATGGCAGTTTTATTTAACAAGTAGCTACGAATTAATTGAGTAGACAGAAGAGTCAGAATTTCATTTTTATTGAACTACTGAGTTCATTATTCATGTATGAAGTAGCTACTGACTAAATAAACTGTGTTTGATAAGTAAGTCTACAAAACGTTATATGGATGACATCTAAATACTCTAAGAAGTAATTGACTTCTTTCGAACCATGCTTTGAAACGTTCATAGCAGTAGAAATTGTAGACTTAATAATAATGATAATGATAGTAATAATAGATTTTGAGGGCGGAGCAACATCAAAGATATTTACTTGAAAATGCAATTACTTAAAAAGGTCTAAAGGAAAGGCATCTTACTTTTATGAGCACTTACAAAACATTTATTTTTGAAAGGCAGGGCGATTCCTGCAAGCTGTGGTCAACAAACAAGTGATAGGAGTCGGATATTAAACAGTCACTACCGTATCCTTTAGGATAATAGACAAACAAAAATTGACAAGCTTACTACACTTTTCTGAAGACTTTACAATCGAAAATTTTAACATTCACCTTAGTTTCCAGATTGAGACTGAAATCAATTTTTTATCCCGAAAATTCTTTATAATTCAGGTCCTAGAATATGTTCCTTTCTGTCTAACGAGTCTCCATTATAATTTATTTTGATTTCTCATGATTATTCGTAGGTTTAATTACTTGCTTACTTTTTCTAGGAACTCCATTCACGTGAAATTTTGTTTATTTGACCCAGTTTTTATGGACACAATTAACGGTGTAATCACATAAAAATTATCATTTTTCTTGAGTGAGGTATGTAAGTTAAGGTTGTTTCCAGCCGATCGGTATTCATTGCGTAAAACGATGTCTTTCTATCGTGCAAATTTGTTTCGTGTTGTTTCTTTCAGATTAGTCAATGCAGCAAAATATTTGAAATAATGAATTAAATAAAAATGAGCTCTGTCAAAATGTTTTCTTCATTTAATCAGCGTGATGCATTACCTTAAAAAGCTTTGTTTCGTTATAACTTGGTGAGCATTAGTTTATGCTATGACCGGTAATGCGACCTAATCCACAGACGAATCCTCTCTAGTGGCAAATCAAAACTTAAACCAATACAACAACAATACCACTGGTGCGCGAAGACAAGAAGACAAGATGGACCTTTGGTAGAGAGCTTTTACTATCCTAACTACTTGAGAGCGACGTCCAGTATATATATTCTTAGTGATTCTGACAAACAGCAAATTCACTGATAAGTGAGAGCAGTTAACCCTTCAGAAGCACTAGGAAGAACAAAAGTCAGCAACGGCACTCAGGGAGCGAAGACAGTAGTAATAAAGTTGTTTTAAGGTCATAGACAAATATCGGGCAACGGTTAGGCAAAATTAAAGGTACATCACAGATTTCATCGATATAACGTACGAAGAAAGTCTTCAGCAGTCATCAGCAACTATCTGCCTTACCTTGAACATTTTACTGTTCACAGTAATCTCTTGTATAAATTCGAGAAATTCTTTCTGTGACAATTCAACTGTAATAACAGTCAGTGAGTGTATCGAAAAATGAGTTCTTAAAGGGAACGATTATCCGCATAACAAATTCTTCGTTTTTCAAAGATTTGCCACTATCTCTTTTTTACCGATGAGTAAGAACAAAAGGAATGAAATATACAAACTGAGTCAGATGTTTTCTGCCACTTTGTTATCAACGTAATCCATGACTTATGGAGAATTGTCTTTCTTCTGTCGTGTTGACTGTTGAATTATTTGCTCTTGTCCATCATTTTTCTTGCAACTTCATATTGCGCTTAAATGTCGTGCATAACACGTAGTGCATAACTCTTTGGTTTTCTTCTGATTTATGAAACTTCCCTAAGTCTGTTTGTAAATACAAAATGTATTCTGCTGCGAAAAACGTCGGACTAGTATGCCGTTTACATAAAGTATCGAAACCCAATTTTATATTAGCGTTTGTTGAAAACGGAAATTTGACAGGAATCTTCTGTACTATATCCTTTGCATTTTTGAGCTGATTGAAAAACGCCTCCGCAACCTTGTAAAAAATCATTTGCCTTTGAAGATTTCAGCCCGTTACACAGTATATTCCGTGACTCCATATCTCTAGATGAGTTATCTTTAGTCACTCATAGCCCTGAAAGATAAACTTTCGTGGCGTCTCTATAGGAAAGTCAGTACTGCCTGTCTTTTTAAATGAAGTCTCAGTGGCAAATATACTAAAGTTTGCTTCAGTAGTAACTGGATTATAAGTGTTAACGTTTAATGTCTTGCTACATTTCTGATGCCTTTATTGATCTGTTTTGAAAAACCTGTTTTTAAAAAAGATAATTAAGTTTATGCTTTTTTCATTCTGTTGTGCAGATCAATGAACACCTTGGACCATTACAAATTTCTCTTGGAAACATGTTAATCGATATAACAAAATTCATTTTCATATTTTTACTGGTGATTTCATCGTTTGCATGTGGACTTCATCAGCTGTATTACTATTACCTTTCACCAGGTGAAGACAATAGACCACGTGCATTTAGTTCGTAAGTTACGTTGGATATACAAATATACATTAATTTTGATGAATATTTCTATCATTTCACTACTTCTCAGGTGCTGCTTTAAAATCCGATAATAGTTATCATAGAAAGTTATGCTTTTAATCCAGTGCATGACACCATCGACCATGTGAGAAAACTTTACGCATCTTTTTCATATATTCTTGTTGAAGGCTATTAGCATCAATTGATCAATCAATCTATCTACACACTTACGAGGCAGAGGTTTCTCAGTTTTTTTAAATGCATGATTGGAGTTAAGTAACATGGTAAAAATTTCTGTATGTAGGAATGCTGATCAGTGAAGTGTGAAGTCGAAAATTATCAACAAGATTAAATGTTCTTTTAAGATGGTTATCCAAAGCATCTGATTCTCTTATTTTTCTAATATTCTTCATGTGTTAGTAAATGATTCAACAACCGTATGGAGTAATGGGCTTAAAATATTTGTACACTAATTCTACCAATTCTGATGGAGTGGATACAGGTTACTACTCTCCCATATATATCTATCTTGAGACCTTCTTGATGAGAAGAAATTACATATTTCATTTACTTATGAATAGCTTTTAAGACATTTCAGAAGTTATTCGACCTGAGATTAACCTAAATCTTCTATTTTCTGCACTTGCATATCAGCTAATTTACAATTTTATATCTCTTATAATATGTTTGACAACAATAAGCACTTGATAAGAAGAATCATAAAATCACCAGTTATTCTTATTTTATGCTATCACATGTATGCACATATGTACATGATATCACGTGATAAATATAAATAAAATCATTCTTAAAGCGAGAAAATGGCTAATTTATTCTTTTTATGCCTGACGATAATTCGCGATTTCACATGCACTGGTTCATATAACCACAGACTCAAATTCGTAATTCCAATCTTGTATTTAAAGAAATCAAAAATCTCTGTCTCATAAGTGTGTAGATAGATTGATTGACCACTTTGTGCTAATACCCTTCAACAAATGTATGTGAGAGTGAAATAAGAAGTTTCTTTACAAGGTCACTAGTATCTGACACTTAAATCCACTGGTTACTTTTTTTACTGATTATTATGGGATTATGAAACAGTGAATCAAGAGTAGTGCAGTGATGAAGATAGATAGAGGTAGTTGGCTGGGATTTCATATCTGAAGTTTGTATAAAGCATTCATAGTAATGCCTTTATCTATTTTAGGTATGAGAAAAGCTACAGAAAAATTGATATCTACACATAGAGATGTTAATCAGGTTAACTTCTGTAACGTTTTCGCAGTCAGAAGAAATTAAGCACCTGTATTGTTTCGGTGATTTCAAAAGTCTGCCTTATATTAACTTGGTGCAAATAATGAAGCTAAAATTTATGTTGGCAAAGTAAAAGAAATATATTTTATGATAACAAAATCCAAAAAATATACCTCCAGGCTTTGCTACCTTATGAACTACTAAACAGGTTGCGAAACTAGGATAATAATTATTTCTTTAAAAAATTACTATGTAAATAAACAAGACATGAAAAGAAGACTAATTTTTCGGAATAAAAACTTTGAATTTAAAGCAATGTAATTAAAAAAAACAAGACAGATAAGAATAAGATATCTTCGTGTTCTGATAGGGATAAAAACGGTGACATCTACTGAATCAATAAGATCATTTTGAGTCATTTTCCTACTATTTTATAAATCCATAACTTTTGTTATCTTATAAATTTTAATCAGAAATCTTTTCGCTCATATGTCAGAGGTTTACGATGAATAGTCTGGTTAGGTTAAATCACCCTTTGAGTTTGTATCATTACTTCAGATAAAAACTCACATCATGGCAAACTCTGAGCTAACTTGAAGAAAGAAATTTAAAACCGCCAATTTGTCTTAATTTTTAGATTTCTGATAGACAGCAACTGTTTTAAAAGATCAGATGCATTGCGTTTTTTGCGGTGTATAGATGAAGTGATGGTATGATCACATGTTTGTGAGGTGTGATGGTTGTCACTGGTAAGGAATCTAGGAATTTCATAAATATTAACTATGTTGATTTACACACATCCTAATGTTTTCATCTCAGCAACTTCCTCACTTTTCATCATTTGTCTGGCATTAGACAGCTTGTATTGAGGGAATAAATGATAAGCATGTTTTCGATTCTGAAAGAGAATGCGAAGGATTGATTCGTGCTTTCAAAGATAAAAATAGGAATTAAAACGTCTTATCGTTATGCTGCGACTTCTGTATGCGTATTTGAGAAAAGTATTATTGACTTTCCAAATGAATCTTTTGACGAATGTTCCTGCATTCCTAATTACTTTTCATTTTCTTATTTCATTCTAATTTTGTATCTCAGTAAGGTTTAGTTAATTTTTGTGACAAACCACTTCCTTACCGTGGCAACCAAAATTATATTAAAGTTAATAAATAAAATGGTCAGTCTAAAGTTATCTTTATAGATTCGTTATAACAATTGTGTCTCCTAACTGTAACCCTTCATTCAAACTAAAACTTTCAGACATGGCTTAGAATTCTCCTGTAATAGTTAAATTTAGAAGTTCAGTACTTGGGAAATATATGTTTCAAGTTAGTTAATTAGAATGGATATGAATTGTTGTTTTTTGGTTCGAAGTAATTCCTATTCTTTTTCTAAAAACAATGGAATACCCTGAATTTATGTACAGTGCAAAGGTCTCAGTGACCTGATGGTTAACGCTTTGATATTTATATCTACGGTTATTGGGTTAATGGGGGACATCGCCACTCATTGGAGTACTGGTTCATTTAACTGATTATTCCCGAATAAGACGGACAAAAGGCACATCCGGAATTTGACTGTCAGTCACTAAGTAAATTACAATATAGTACGAAGGCGAATTTAGATAAACTAAGTGATGATAAGGGTATACAAGTAATCCACTTAGCTGCTTTGGGTATCATTAGTGATAAAAAAGAACCGGAAAAAATTATTGAGAATTTTTGTAAACCTTCAGAAATCCAGTCACCTGCTCAATACTGGAATGATGTCGTAGACTGTTAAAACTAAACAGACTCATTTATAAAGATGGGTTATCATAGGCTGCACTGTTGAGTTTGTTCTGCAGTACACTCATCTATTCTTAAAACTTTTGTTTTGTTTCTGTTTTCCTCAGGCTTGTCAGTTCATATCGAACATTATTCTGGCATTTATTTGGAAGTAGTCAGGCGGGTAACTTTGAAGTGACTTTTGTGAATAAAACAAGCGGTGAACGTGAACGAATGGAGTCAGCTAGAAATACAATGGTTGTAGGAGAGATTCTCTTGCTTATCTATCACGCTATGGCTATTATCGTTTTGGTCAATATGTTAATTGCCATGATGTCCAACTCATTTCAGACTATACAGGTATGTATAAACTATCAACAAAAGAATGTATCGGGATCGGAAAGCTAGCTGTAACAATATCAACTAATCTAGCTTACCTTGTTTCATACCTACAACTTCAAATACACAGTGTTGTTTTAGTCCTTAGGCAATAGTTCAATTATCGTGTGATAGTTAGTTTATTTGAATTTAGTTGTTCCAAACTAATACACCATTCCAATAGCCAATATTTTATCACGATATTCTCCAGACAACTTTGTCCATTTAAGGTGGCATATTTCAGAATTGAAAGGTGGTTTTGTTCATGAATCATAGTGAAGAAACCGATCTGGTTCCAGCATAAAAGTGCACTGATCAGCAAAGAAGATTCTCTCTGTAATTCCATACCTGCACAGAAATACAGTAGTCTGAAGATATTATAGAAGATTCAGACAAGAGTAAAAAGTCAATGTCATTTCACAATAAAACCTACTGAAATATGAATCAAAAGATAATGGTATCGACTGTAAGCACTAGCAAGTTATTCCTATGTAGCATAAGATCCATTGACTTCAAAACAGAAATCAGCCACAAAGAAAAAGATTCTAGTCAATAAAGTAAAGCTGTCGTAAGGAAAATAGAGAAGGAAAGAAAACTACCAAGTGAAGTTAGTGTATCCTTAAAACTAAGGGGAAACTAAACGCATAAATTGAAAAAGTTCGGGATTCTCTCTTTATGAATATCAAGAAATGCTATTAGGAAGGAAGTAGCCAAAATCTATATGGAATGAATTTTCTATAGATGCCACATGATCTGATACAACATTATGCTCTAGCATTGAACTAATTAATAATTTTGGCTATATTTTAAAGTTATTCTAATTTTCATGAGTACAGTCTACCAGTGTTCAGCTTGCACAGTGCATGTACCTATATAGTTTCACAGAAGCAAATAGGCTGCCACAAACTCACTCATATATGTTGCCATCTATGAAATTTATTATTGCATAAGACTTTAACAATCACATAAAATTGGAAAGTGTTAAAAAAACACAGTTAATTTGATTCTTAAATTACTTTATTATATTTATTCTTTAATGAAGCATAACTAATGGCAGGTTTGTAGATCGGCTACTGAATTTCGATACTGGTCAAAACAATTGACTCTCTTATTGAAAAGGTGGGAATTTGAAAAAAATTATTATTTCTGATGAATACATAACGAGGTTACCATTTAAATAAATTTAGTAAAGACTTATTCATTCAGATTACCATCTTTTCATTATCTGAACCGTGATCTTCTATTTTCTTGAACTGAAATTCACCAGTAATAAAATGCTCTACGAAATTGCTGGAAGTTTAAAAGAATAGTTATGTTTTTTGTTTACTGTAACAACAATTTCACCAATGCTCTAATCACTAAGTTCTCAGAGAAAACACCTGAGTTTGCTGATGAAATAAATATTTTATTTCAAAATGACAAAAATATTTCTACGTATCCCACCAATTGATAAAAAGAAATAAAGTTTTGGGGAAAATATTTTGTATTTCTTATCCTAAACTCATAAATTTCAGCAAGAAAATAATGGACACAAAAGAACAAGGAAGACGGCTTCAAATCTTTTTCGACTATTGAGTTAAATAAATTTTTTTTGAAAAGAAATAACTAAGTTAAATAATAAGAGAAGTGCTTACAATTTCATTACTGCTTGTAATACATCTATACACCAAATGTCTAATTTCCCTCTCACGGGAGCAATCTCCCACGTGAGAGAGAACAGGGCTGGTAGAAGCAGTTGAGGGGGAAATTACGTACGAAAATATTTGAATAACAAGTTGAATAAAATGCAGTAAAAGTTGCAGAAATAAATTTGAGAAATTCATTTATATCATCCTGAACATTTTGTTGTTGGTGCATTAGTAGCAAAGGACTGGTTTATACTTGCGTTATTCTGCATGATCACTGGATCTTTATAACTGTCAACCACAAAGATTTCCATTTTCTGAATTATGCTTGCTTTCACGCTTTTAAGGGGAAAATCCGTTTAAGTTCAAAATGTTGTAACAAGATTTAACTGTTGATGAAGACGAAATCGTGGGAGTTTTGAATTCGTCAAGTTGAACAGCCAATGTACTACAACCAAATTCCTCATATTACAGTTCATTAAATATCCGACACAATGAGTCGCTTTTTCCCTCTTATAGGAAGAAATTTTTGGATTTAAAAAGAAATAGACTCTAGGTATTCTTGTAACAAAAGAGTCCCTGAAGCACAAAACATTAGTTATGGGAATAATTTTCGGCACATTGAAAACCATAAGAAAACTTCTGTATAAGTAGATAATCGAACTCCCCTATTACGGAAGATGATTGTAGTCATTTTAAAGAACTAACTGCGCTACACACAATACTTATGCATAGATTTAGTTCAAACAGGCCCGTAGCCAATTAGCCTGGCTGATCTTACTAAAGCTAGTATGAGAAACAACGATAAGTTGAGTCACCCTAGTTAGTATGGCTCACTGCATGTCAGTGAATGGTGACAAGACTCAACTAGCAAGGAATTCTTCATAGATTGCAGAGTTCAACATTCTGAACCCTGATTAGTATTATTTATTCTTTTTATCTTTTTTTAATACTAATATTATGAAACATTATGGTATCCAGAATTTGAAATGACAATGATCGTACTTACCTTCTTACTGTAGAACCATGCAGACACTGAATGGAAATTTGCAAGAAGTAAACTATGGGTTGGTTATTTTGATGAAGGGTCAACACTACCTCCACCGTTAAACACAATTGTCAGTCCTAAATCAATTATCAGGTGCTTATATGGAGTATACCATTTGTTTGTTCTTCTTATACGAACATGCTTAAATTGTAAACAAACAACAAACGCTAGTACTAAACACAAACAGAATAAAGAGGTCCGACAACAGACAAAGCCAAGCTGTGTGGACAGTCAGTTTAGTCACAAGTCGAATCAGCTAGATTGGGATATTGAAATACAAGAAACAAATGCCGAGGAAAGTATCCCAAATGCAAATATGGTCAACAAGCAGAAACAGGTGAGTTCATTTTCTACACATTGAAATCTCTGATATACAAAAATAGTTTTCATTACTCTTTTCTTGGTCGTGAACACAATGCTTGTATCTCACACAACTGTGACTGTTGGTTTCACGTATGAACCATACACACACCACTAAATGTTCATGGGTTTGACTAAGGTGATATCAAAACAAAACAACTCTTCTTCTGGTTCAAAACCAAACCTCTTGTTATGATGTCCATAAGGATTCAACTAAGAGGGTCAAAATGTTCACAACGCAATTATTCTGACTCTTTACTTGAGTGAACTGGTTGCATGATCTGTTTAACATAAGTCGCGATGCTCTCAGTCGGTTAAAAAAATTGTTCAGTATTTAGAATATGCTTATTTAGCTAATTGGGCCTGTTAAGTGATTTCTGTGATTTATGGTCACCCATTTCATATAACAAGGTAAGCCTTCTGATTTTTATATTCGTAGTTTGATGCCATTTTAGGTAATTTCCTATTGCTTCGAAAATACTCGAAAATTTACAATTTACAACATGATTTGAATTTAACATGACTAACTCTTGGAAGCAATACATTATTAGCCTACTTTTGATTTCCTTGAAGAATTTTTCAACCAAGACCCTACTCAAAATGAATACGTTTGAATCCTTTTGTCTGACATTCTAAAATTGTAGTCCCTAGTCGTTTTAACAATAGCTATTACGTTCATTTCTCATCTCTTGACACTCACAATTTTAATAAATAACCTAATTATTTGCTAAGATATAATTCTCAACCATTCGCAATTTTTCATATTCTCCAATCACAAACAACTTATCTCAGAATGTGGTATGGCTCACTGAGTAACATTTGGGCCAATCTTTGCTTTGAGTGGAATAAAAAGGTGCTCATCACTAAGTAGTAACGTTTTTTGCAATGTTGGTAATAAACAAATTCTGGAGTGTCTATAGATATATGGAAAAAATACTGTAAAAATCAAATTACCATTCTAGCGAACGATCTATCACTCTCTTATTTGAATGACCACGTTATAAATCAATCCCTTTCATTCATTAAATCTTTCATTTGTAAACTATTTTTATGCTAGAGTTATCACTAGAGTTAAGAAATGTTTGACTAACGATAGACCAGCCAACAAACAGCCTTCACTGGAATCTCATCAACAAACATTTTTTTAATTTCCACATGAATCATTATTCACTTATGTTCAGTTCAATTTGCTTAGTATTGCTCTCAGACAGTTTACTGACTAACTTATTTTGAATAGTGCAAAGGCTAAATCCTGTAACCGAACATTGCTGTGTCTTTACAACGTCTTGTAAAACATTCCCACTAATGAGTTTAGCTACATACAAGCAGTATTTTTAATCCTTGTAGTTTGCTCATAGTTGATATTTCAACGTCTTTTTACGATTAAACAATTTTCATCACATTCAAATGTGACACCTTGAGTTGCCATGATTATCAGTAGTAATTTTTCCACATCCCTGTAATCAGCTGACTCATTCAAATCAAAAATGTCATGTTATCAGGAGCAAAGTTCTCAGTCATACTCTTATTTCAACTGGTATTTTGTTTCATAGCTTATCCTACACCCATGGACCAAGACACTGTTTCCAAGATAACTGAAGAATAAGAAATGTTATTTCAGAATAACTTGGTCATGAATTATATTAGTTATCATCACTATTAATTGGATCAAGATTGCATGATCACAACCAATTAAAAGAAATTGTTGGACTTACTGTCAAAATTAATTTGTGACTTAAAGTAAATGCTGCCCTCCCTTTCACTTTGAACTGTCATACAAAGCAGTCAACTAAACAAAAACAGTAATTTAACAATTTGAATAGTGCATCACATTACCATATAATAAGCCTTAGTGTGTCAACCATATTCAGACCAGTCATCTTTGAAATGAATTTCTGAGTAAAAACATTTAAAAATTCTGTTCTGAATGGTTTGATTTCAAATATCAATGAACACACTAGAGTATCACCAAAAGCTGGAACATTATTTGGTTTCAGCCATTCAAAAAAAGGAATCAACTCAGAAGGTAACTTAAATGTATCCTAGATTTTTAATAAACGTCTGCTTTGCATTTTAGTTGCCATAGGTGTTACTGGCTCATATTTGTACTCTAAACCAACAGACATCTGACACATACAAGGTGTGCCATAATGATTGAAATTCCATTACAATTTTGGCGTCGTTTAAGATGTACTGACATTTTCCAAGTTTTAGATTTGTAATCTTCAGCCGGAAATAACCAAGACACCGTTACAATATCATTCAATGGTTTTTCACAAAAATATGCAGTTTTACAGCTGGATACAAGCACAAAATATTCTCTTAAATATTCATTCAGATGACATTGAGATGACTGTAAAATCTTCATAAAGTTTGTGCTGATGAATTTCTCTCGAATAGCAATTAAATCTTTACAATTAGACCACCCAGCTTAGAGGATAAAACATCAAAATAATTCACACTGCTGAGTAAAATAACCTAATATATCAAGTTTATTGGTAACTGATTTCCTGATTTTTTTTTTCGATCTTCTTTATGCTCATCAGGCTCAACTCTGAAACTGCAATTCTGATGCAATGAATCAATTTAAAGGCTAGGTTGGTAACTGCTGAAATAACCAATCACTTCTCGGTATTTCGGTTGAAAACTTAGTTTTTTCATTTGGTAATGAAGCACAATTGTTTGTCCCAGAAGTTGTTACAGTGGTCCTTAAAGTCACTCGACACATAATATGCACTTAGTGTCCGTAGATAATTCAAAATGAGCATACGAAAAACTGTTTGTGGGAGTAGTACTACATAAGTGAGTGCACGATATTCGGACAAATCAAGATAAAGTTGTTATTCGGTACTTGTAATCTCCTGTTGCCCTACTGGGTCGAATTCCTCAAGCTCCGTTGACAGACGGGCTCCTATGAAGATGCCTTGATACTGCTTCAGTGCTGATTATGTTGCTTGAAGTCTGGACTGATAATTAAAAAGTAATTATGAAACCAAAATAAAAGGAAAAGTAGGGAATAATTGTAGTAAGAATGACAACTTACGTAACATAAGTCAAGAGCAATCAACTGAAGTAAATAAACTAGAAATTAAATAGGCGAGTAAAATATGATTATTGTATGTGGATGAAAATGATTAAGAAACAAGATAATAACATCGAACTAGGTTGACTGTGAATCTAAGGAAGAACAGATGTGTGCACAATTTCTGCTTCGTAGTTTTAACGGCAACTGCTTAGGCTACCTACAGAAGACGAAGATGTATGTCACTCAGTAATCGCTTTGCAATTTGATGGATATTTGAGTAAGACATTTCAATGCGCATCGAATTACTGGTTTCACTTAGACACCCTTGTATGGAACCAGAGATCATTTTCAATTTCAATTTACACAAGTATTCCGACAGTTCTTTCATGCTTTTAGGAATAGTTCTAAGATTGTGTTTATGATAATTTGCTCTACTAGATCAGCTGAACTTACCTATACAGACTAATTCAGACAAATGAGGCACTCAATTTTTTCCACTTGAAGTTAGTTATCCTACATCGGATAAGTTATGTCCGAAAGGGTATCCTGGGAGTGGTACTTATTACATTGTGACATTTCTAATAAACCGACTAAAAGGAACTACAATGTGCTATAGTGTCTTAGTTCTACTCCTTTATTAATGAAGGTAGGACAGGGCTACTTGTAGACAGGTTTTCGGGATGCCGGGAGAAAAACTTTTCCTGAAGCTTCTAGTAGTAGTAGTTTTAAAGGTCGTAAATAATTGCTTTCGGAATTTAAAGAAAAAATCTTACTGATATTTTCAGGCCCGTGTTTAAACATGATTATTCTATGGATACTGTCAAACTGAACAACTCTTGTATCATTGTCTCTATTGCACAGTTTTCCAAGTCAAAAGCAATTTGCTTATTATTAACAAAAGCTGACTCCTAATTTCATGTGTTTTCTTCATAAAAATTTCTTTTTTTCAGCAATCCGTGAAAGAAATAAAACGGAGTAAACGAAAAACCTACTACCAGGTTAGGAAATAAACTGTACAACTTTCTATTATAGTAAAACCTACTTAAATGCTCCTACTTGGGTGAATTATTGCATGATATACGCATTATTGTTATGCATGTCCAGCATTGTTTTCTGAAGTTTTTTTCCAAACACTCACCATAAACTTACCTAATAGTAATCACATCTCAGCTTATTTGTCACTTAAATCTATCAGAACTGACTAATGGACTTTCAGTTATTGAGATTATTAACGGTTGCATTCAGTTCGGAATAATACCTTTGAGAAGTTGCTTATAGTCAAATCATTACATAATCTCTCAATATAGTCTAAACATGACTGTTTAGTAAGGGCTAGCAGCGGAACCTAGGATACTTATGTCATCCTACTTAGAGTACATTAAATGAATACATCTATCTATATCTATGGTGGGGTTTTTATAAAGACTTGAAGGGTGCAATTTTTGCTTTAAAATCAGAGCTTGACAACTCAGGATATCACAACAAAAAGACGTAGAGTTGCCTAATGTCACAGAGTTTGGCACTTGGTAAAAATGCTCCTTAACCTTCACGTTCTTGTCTTAGAATTTACTAGAACAAAGTCATACACACACACTGAAACAGTAGCATTTATTGGATAACATTTCGGACACAATTTGTTGTCCATATTCATGTCAGGTGATATGAATATAGACAATAAATTGTGTCCAAAACGTTATCCAGTAAATGCTACTGTTTTGCTGTGTTACATTTCCAATAAACAGACTAAAATGGAATTACAATCGACTACAGTAACCAAATTTTACTCCTGTAGTAAAGTCAAACACAATTTATGCACTACTTTTTATCACTTTTGAAGTTGTAATCTTTTTGTTGGATTGTATTAGATGATTTTAGCATTTGTTTCATTTCGGATATTTGGCTTCAAGCGGTTTAGTGTTTCCTTTGATGATTAGGGTTTTTAGTTTACTAGT